TGTGTCAGGGTGGGGTCTGAGGGGGGCTTGGCCATGAACGAGAAGGGACAAAAAGAGGAATATTAAGAATGCTGAAGATTACAGAAAGTTAGGAAAACGATCTAGTGGACGGGTTGAAGACTCAAATAGATGATCTGGAAGGTCGTGAAAGACCATCCCAAACACAGGACAAAATGACTCAGAGACCGTTGTTGTCAAGTTGATCCCGAGATGGATTGACACAGTGGTGCAATGATGGGCTCAAGTGTAACCAGGACTGTGAGCATGGTGCGGGAGCAGGCAGCATTCTGTTCTGTTGTACACAGGGTCGCTATGAGTCGGAACCGACTCGACGGCTTCTAACAACAAGAAGGAGAAGGCCGGGGGTCACAGGGCCAGGGGCTGCCGGGCAATGCAGAGGCAGCAGGGAGTCCCCGAAGGAAGACCAAAAAGGACAAGGGGACCTGAGAGCTTGGCAGATTCTCCCTCAAGGGACACGTTTTCAAGAGTTGGGATTATGCTTCCTAGCCTGCAGGTCCAATCACACTTGGTGGCTGGATAAGATGAATATTTACATAATGCAACTATCAGAAACCCTGTTTGTTGACTTCCAGCTTTTAGAATTCGAGGATTGAGGAAGTGTGGTCGATTACGTGTTATTCCCCAAACCAGAAACCAAACCTGTTGCCGTGAAGTGGATTCCAGCTCATGGTGACCCCAAGTGGTACAGAGCAGAACTGCTCCATGGGATGTTCCTGGGTGTGATCTTTATGGAATTAGATCACCAGGCCTTTCTTCCATGACGCTGCTGGGTGTGTTTGAACTGCCAGCCTTCAGGTTAGTGTCGTTGCTGTTGTTAAATGCTGTCAAGTTGATTCTGATTCATAGCGACCCCATGTGTGACAGAGCAGAACTGCCCCATAGGTTTTTCTTGGCTGTAACCTTTATGGAAGCAGATCGCCAGGTCTTTCTCCCTCGGAGCCGCTGGATGGGTTCGAACCGCTAACCTTTCAGTTAGTAGCCGAGCGCAAACTGTTTGTGCCACCCAGGGACCCTTCGTGTTGTTCCCACTGGCATGTAAACGTCCTCAGCCTTGGCGGTGGAGCAGCCCCAAGCTGGAGGAGCAGCAGGGAGCCGTGGCCGGGGTGTAGGTTAATTCTTCACCCGTCAAAAGCTGGCAAGTCAAGCATTAGAGACAGAAGTCCTTGCTCATTCATTCAGCCGATTCCCTTTGCTGAGCGCCCACCGAGGGCCGAGTGCCCACTGAGGGCCACGTCCCACTGAGGGCCACTGGTCAGAGCTTGGTTCAGATGGACCTGCGTCCTCCCCCATGAGAGGAGACAGACAAGAAACCCAGCCACGTGGGGGAGAAACACCAGGGGTGGCTGGGGGAGGGAGTGCTCCGCATGGATGTGCAGGGGAGGCCTTGGGCGGGGGAGGTTTAAAGCTAGGAACGTGTGTCTAGAAGGAGCCAGCCTTCCTGCCGGGGGACAGGGGCTCCCGCTGGGGCAGGCCTGATGGGTATGAGGAATGGAGACAGGGTCAGCGAGCTGGGGCAAAGAGGGTGGGGGACAGGGGTGTGGAGGGGAGGGACCCAGTGAGTGGGGGAGAGGCGCACAGAGGGTGGGGAGAGTGGTGCAGGGGATAAGGAGGTGCAAGGAGAGGTCCCAGAGGCTGCAGGGTCAGGTCATGTGGGCTCTGGTTTGACCTTCAGTGCTGTTGGTGTGGCGATGTTGGTATTGTAGGTGTTGTTGGCATTGTAGGTGTTGTTGATGTTTTCGCTGTTGGTGGTGTAGGTATTGTTGGTGTTGCTGCTGTTCTAGGTGTTGGTGGTGTCATTGGCATTGTAGGTGTTCTAGGTATTGTAGGCATTTTGGTGTCATTGGTGTTGAAGGTGTTATTAGTATTGTAGGTGTTATTGGTGTTGTTGGCCTTGTAGGTGTTGAAGGTGTTGTAGGGGTTACTGGTGGCATTGATAGGGTAGGTGTTGAAGGTGTTGTATATGTTGTAGCTTTTGTAGGTGTTTTAGGATGTGTTGTTGCTGTAGGTACAGTTGGAGTCGTCAGTATTTTAGGTGTTATTGGTGTTGTTGACATTGTAGGTGTTGGTGGTGTAGGTCGCATTGTAAGTGCTGTTGGTATTTTCGGTGTTGTTGGTACTGTTGGCATTGTAAGTGTTGTAGGCATTGTAGTTGTTATTGGTGTTGATGACATTGTAGGTGCTGTAGGAGTTGGTGTTGGTGTGTAGAGGTTCTAGGTGTGGTTGACGTTACTCGTTTTGGCTGTGTTGGGAGATTTGAAGCTGAGGAGAACCCTGATCCGATCAGCTCCCTTTGGCTATTGGGCAGAAATCTGATGGGGAAGACATGGGCAGAAGGCGGCCAGGAGTCAGGAGTGGTGGTGGGGTCAGGCATGCGCAGATGGCCTGTTTTAGATCACAGAGTCAGTGGAAGCCGGTACTGGGAAGAACGCGCCCATCAGAAGTGGCGGCTAGGATAGCCGAGGGAGCGTGGGGGAGCGGAGCCCGGCGTTCTGAGCAGGACCAGCAGATAGTACGTACAGAAGACAAGAACAGAGCAGAGGTAAAAATGTAGTATTTAGAGCTATAAAGGGAACAGGCAGAATTAAACAAATGGAGAACAGCCGTTGGGTGGGGAGAGGGTCTGGGCTGGGGGATGGGCACGGAGGTGGCTTCATTTTATATTTTTCTGTAAGAGTTGCATATGTATTACACATTACCATGCGCATATGTAACTTTTTTAATAAAAAAAGGGAGAGAGGAGAACCCAGAAAGAAATGGTTGGCCAGCCTTGCAGAGGGAGACGCTGACTTAATGTCAGAATAGTTGACCAGGGAGTGGCTCTGCAGAGCCAAGATTGGGAGGCCCCTCCCAGGCGGCAGTGGCTGAGCCAGGAAGGGTGAGGAGGCAGCAGCCCTTGGGGATAAGCCAGAAAAAGCGAGCCAAGCAGAGGGAAGAGCAACTGCAAATTGATGAGGCCAGACAGGGCTTGGCAACTGAGGTGCAAAAAGAAAGCCAGGTGAGGCAGGGAGCACGGTAAAGCGATCACTCGGGGCGGGGGCTGGGATTCATTCCTGGATGGTGGCCGTTTGATGGAGATAAGTGCAGCATTACTTGTAAAATGGTGGGAGTAGTAGTAGCGTCGGAACCTAACTTCAGTGGGGATAATGACGAGGATCAGTCCAAAGCTGATCCCTACGTAGTGGAGGTCAGACATACCTCCATCATGCAACCTTTTTAACAATTCTGACACCAGCCCTCCCCACCACGGCACTCTCTACTTCTCTTCTGGGTTCGATAATCCATTGCAACGGCCACACAGAACTCACAGACCACACTTACAGTTAAATGGTTTATTAAGGAAGTAACAGTACACTACTCGGGATCGGGATCAGGAAGCATGTAGGCAAAGTCTGCCTCCTCAGGTGCAGGACAGCTCTCTCAGCTTCTCTCAGCCGCGCAGGCCTCCTCTCGGCCCCCTGAGGACAGACTCCTCTCCGCCCCCTGAGGACAGACTCCTCTTGGCCCCGAGGACAGGCTCCTCTCAGTCATGTAGGCCTCCTCTCAGCTCCCTGAGGACAGGCTGCTCTCGGCCCCCTGAAGACAGACTCCTCTTGGCCCTGCCGCCTGTCACCACTGGCTCTGCCGCTGGGCCCCTTCCGGGCCTGTCACCCATCTTCAGTGTTACAGCCCTTGACCTGCGTTACAGCGTTTTGAGAGGTTCCTTGCCTCCTTTCTGCTGGCTCACAGGGCAGCAGAAGCTGACACAAGCTAGCATATCCTAGAATCAGCAGGTCAGATGGCAGGCTGCTGGCTCAAGTCCCAAGAACTGGCAGTCAGATGATGACGAGCCAGATGCAGGATCCAGAGCAAGACGAGCTTTACCAGAGCATTTATATATATTGGATGTAGGCCACACCCCCAAGGAAACTCCCCTTACATCAGATACTTGAGTAAGGCGGTGACTTGAATAAGGATGTGAGTTAATTACTCAAGTGTGACTTGAGTAAGGCTGTGGCTTGAGTTATGCTGTTTAGTAAGGGTGTGACTCAAGATACACCCCACACTAATCCTGCCTCATTAACATACAGAGGTTTAGGATTTACAACACATAAAATGGCGGATAATTATATAATACCACAAAATGGAGGACAATCACATCAGATCATAAAATGGAGGACAATTACACAGTACTGGGAATCATGGCCTCGCCAAGTTGACATATCCTACTAACCATCACAGTAGGCCACAGACACTTCATTTGCATAGTAGGCTACAACTCTTCTCATTTGCATAGTCTATTGACCAATCCCTGCAAGGTGCATACCAATCACAGGGCAGGCTACAGCCCAGAACCAGACAAAAATTATCAAACCACAAGTTGTTTACAGCTTACCCAGGAAATGTCAATCAACCTGACAAAAGCTACAGATCTTGTGGGGTAGAAAACTACGGCAAAGGTAACTCCTCAGGGCTTAAGGGAAGATCTTTTAAGCTTTTCCAAAGAACCAAGCAAAAGGCCACATAAAGGAACTCATTTCACCACTCACGTGTTATTCGGAATAACCCACAACCACAGCTAACACTGAGGCGGGCTCACTGTGGATTATTTCATGTACTTCTCATCAGAAACCTGCATAATTTTGCCCATTTGACTGAGGCTCAGAGAGGTGAATTAGCCCACCCGGAGCTGGAGGGCTGGTAAATGGCAGAGCTGGGGTCTGATCCAGGCAGCCTGATTGCCCACTCCCCATCACCATCCTCCACTGCCTCTTGTGGGGTGGGCGGGGGGTGGGCGGGGGCAGGGTTCCCTGAATCAGGGCCAGCCTGTCCAGTAGGCCATACCTGCAGCAGGTAAAGGTGCAGATGCAAACCCCACTCCTATAAGGAGGTCATGCATTCCAGGAATCAGCTGCATCTGGAGGCTGCTCTGAAGCCAGAAACTCAATTCAATTATAAATGCATTTAAAACATCATCAGAGACAACAAAAGCACCAGCAACAAGAGAGGAAAAAATAGATAAATTGGATTAAACCAAAATGATTAAAAAAAAAAAAACCTTTGTGCATCAAAGGACATTATGAAGAGATTACAGAATGGAAGAAAATATTTGGAAACCATTGATCAGGTAAAGATTTAATATCTAGAATATATAAAGAACTCCTACAACTCAGCAACAAAAAGACAAAACAATCAATCAAAAAATGGGTGAAGGACTTGAATAGATATTTCTCCAAAGAAAACACACAAATAGCCAATTGGCACAGGTGTATCTTACAACCAGCGCCACCCTGAGCCACCCATGTCATTACTATGATGGTGTGATGGTTCACTTGGCTAGGCTGTAGTTCCCAGTGGTGTGGCCAAATACTAGACTGGTTGCTGTTCCACAGTGTAATGTAATGCAATGTAATGTAATTACTTTCCATAATGTAATCTAATGCAATGCAATCAATCAATCCATTGAAAAGAGAGTTTCCTTAGGGTACGGTCTGCCTTCAGATTATAAATAGATAATTTAGCAGAACTCGCTCTCTCTTTCCGCTCTGCACTCTTTCCATGGCCTGACTATGGATCTTGGGATGTAAGACTGCAGAAGTCTCCAGCCTTCTACCTGACCTACAGATTTGGGACTTGCCAGCTCCCACAATCATGTGAGCTAATCCCTTGAAGTAAATCAGCCAACCAGTCTACCTACCTACTTATCTATCATCTCATTGGTTCTGTTCCTCTAAAGAACCCTAAGACAGATAGCTACTGGCAGCTACCTATGATATTTGCACTGCACTTTACAGTTTGCAAAGCATTTGCTCGGGTCATCTCATAGACCCCTGCAACAGCTCTGCACAGCTTCATTGGTCCCGCTTTTCAGGTGAAGTCAAGGAACCTGCCCTAGCCACACAGTGAGCACGGGCTGCAGCCAGGACTGCCAGCCAGGTCCGCCCACCCCACCTGGCCAAAGCATGGCACATACTAACAGTCAAAGGCAGCCGTGCTTCAATGGTAGAATTGTCACCTTCCATACAGGAAACCTGGCTTCAATTCCTGGCCAATGCACCTCATCCATAGCCGCCATCCACCAGTCTGTCAGTGGAGCTTGCCTGTTGCTAGGATGCTGAACAGGTTTCATAGGAACTTCCAGATTAAGATAGACTAGGAAGAAAGGCCTGGTGATCTATTTCTGAAAATCAGCCAACGAAAACCTCAATGGATCACAATAGTCCAATCTGCCACCGATCATGGGGATGGCACAGGACCGGGCAGCATTTTGTTCCCGTGTGCATGGGGTCACCATGAGTCAGGGGCGGACTTGGCAGCAGTTAACAACAGCAGCCACAAACAGTCATCGCAGTTCCTGGAGCCCCATGTGTGCCATGCCCTTCTGGTGCCTTCTGCTCTCCACTTACTCTCTGTCTCATTAACGTCTGGGCCGCATTTTACAGACAAGGGCTCTGGATGCTCAGAGAGCTGGAGACACTTGGCCAAGGTCACACAGCTACCGAGTGCTGAGTTTAAGCTTCATTCGGTCAGGTTCCAAAGCCTGAGCCCTCCCCCACGTCCTGCTGAGCGGGGACCCCGTCAATTGGCTGATGACCCTTAGCTGGCATCTCTGTGGCTGATCCCTCTGTCCCATCAGCTCTGCCTCCCACAGATCTGGTCTAGCCCCCTGTCTCCTGGCTCTAGAGGCAGATTCTGGAAAAACAGGAGACTTGAAAGTGCAGAAGCTTCTGTGGAAGCAGCTAGATGACATCTTGGCTCCTCTCAGGAGCAGAGCGGCAGTAATGAGGAGGCAAAATGAGCCGTAATTGTCTTCCTGTCTTTTTTCATTTATGATCCACTTTCTCTGCAGATCTCCGTGGACACTAATTGGCAGGCGGAGGCAGGAACTCGCAAGGAGAAGCACGTCCCTTTAAGTGACTGATCTCCGGGAGATCACAAAGCTGGGAACTACTTTAGAGGAAAACTTGACTCTGAGAGACAATTCTCAAAGGGCTGCTGCAGCTGAGGGCTGGGGCACGCCGGCCTTGGGGCGAGGTTTCTGACCGCGAGGCAGCTCTCTGTGTCCCGGGGTGGTGCAAATGGTTAAGCCCCCGACTACTAACAAAGGTTGGCAGTTCCAATCCAGAGACGCCTCAGAAGAAAGGCCTGGTGATGTGCTTCCGAAAGTTCACAGCCTTGAAAACCCCATGGAGCAGTGCTCCGCGGCACACGCAGTCGCCGTGAGTTGGAATCCACCGTGGTTTTAGACATACAGGCAGGAGACGGGGAGAGTGCAACTTTGGGGCCCGTTGGCCTGGACTGGGGAAGTGTGGCTATTGACCCCAACACTGACATTTAGGGGTACAGCGCAGGCCGCAGTACACCGAGGCAGGAGAATCCTGGTTTTTTAACAATAACATTATGTAACCCAAAAGTAACCCGTGGCCCCATGTGGTCCAGTCTCTGCAAAGAGTTACATTCAAGGAACAAGAAATTCTATTCTTCACTTGAATTTCTGAAAAGACATAGGAAGGAGCCAGACATGCCCCTCTCGTCTTCTCCCCAGCCCAGTGCTTCTCCAAAGCCTCTCCTTCTCCACCCTTCTGAAAAAATCTCTCGCTCCCTCTGCCTTGTGGCTCTTCTGCTTCTCCCAGCTCGTTATTCTTTGGCTTACTGTTTCAATCTGTCTGATTTATTCTATAGTCTTCTCTCCACTCTGACCATTATCAGACTTCTCTACAACAACACTCAGGAACTGACCCAGGGAACAAGGTCCTTAACTCCCGTTTCTTCTACTTCTGCCCCATCTCTCAACTTATTTGCCCAATTCTGTATCTCAAACATCCAGGAACCATCTGGCCCCTCAGAACTCTCCTTAGGGACTAGAGAGATGGAGCAGGTGAGGGGACAAGAACAAAATTCTCCTT